GCTTCAAAAATGCTAAAATACCAACGTTTACCAGGCAAAATGCTTTCAGTCTAAGTCTAGCACGCCAGCAGTGCAACATGCACAGCTGACGTTGACAGGAATGTCATCAGTTTTGCAGGTCACGCAAAGTTTTGACCTAATGATGGCGTCAAGGGAAGAGACGAAGTTAAAAGCAATTACTATTCATCCTTAGGGGCACATGAACCTAATGTCAGAGCAACCTCATGGTGACAGTAAAGCCAAACTGAAGTGAACACCAAAGTCAGTAAGACTCGTCCACTGTGGATCACAGATATTCGCACAAAAATTTCATGGCAAACTCATTTCACTAATATCCTAAAATCCACTCCCAAAGCAGACGACAACACTGTATTAATGCACCGTGCATGTATCAGCATCAGCTACCAGCACACATAAATAACACCCAGTGCCCACATTCAATTAATGTTATCTAAACCAACAGTTGGCCATTCCAACCTCAAGGCCAGAGCTAAACTCCCTACATCCTCCCAAATACTCAGACACACAAGCTGCAAAAATGTTGCAATGAATTAATTCATCTGTCAGGACAATGCAGATAAACTATGCAGACCACCGAAGCCGTGATTAAAAGGTCTCTATTTCAAACATAAAAAATGAAAACATCGAGCTGTAAGGTGCAGTGAGGGAGTGTAACATGTGAGGAAGACCATGTTATCTCCCCACTTTGCCAGCGTTTTTAGACACAAAACATCACCAGCTGTGTGTGCCGGCATTCCAGAGAACGCTGGAAGCAACACCTCCAACACTGAGCGTCAGTGTCTGTAGGTGGTGGGCAAATGTTTTGCTGTCCACGAGAGCAAAGTTGTGTAGTTGGGGTTCCACTTTTTAAAGGTGCTGTTGAAGGGCAGGTTGCAGATACAGAATGGATTTAGTCAGAGTCCTCACAAAAACATGTGTGCAGTAGGTACGCGTTAACAGCTCTGTTTGCAGGTGCAGCGACTCTAGATGAACACGCTACAATAATATTTGCAGATTTCTCCATGTGAGGAATGCAAAAAATGAAGGCTGAAGTCGCAGTTTCCCATGCAAGGTTTACTCCCCGGTATAAAGGCGAATGCACTTAGATAAACCCAGTCACAATCTAAAACAACCACTGCAGCATAAGACAACACAAGCAGAGACGCTCACTATAGAAATCTGTCTTGTTTGTAGACATGGTCAAACATTACAGTATATCACAGAGGTTCTAGTGCCAGAAAAAACACAAAGAAATAAAAGAAGACGCGAAAACATTGATATAAAAGCTGCAGAAGCACCTGTGCAAACAAAAAAAAAGACAAAAAAGCGCACATCAGTGTTTAGACTGCAGGTGTTTTGTCTCTGTGATTGTGAATTGTTCTATAGTTGGAAAGAGCTGCAGTTCAGAGAAATGTTGTTGGGGAGGTTTAACGTTGAGAGCAGGTGTGTGACCCTCCTGGATTTGATCGAGCATTCCTATGGTTAAACCTTTTTTTTTACATATAAGCCAGAGAGAACTGACTCCTCATATAATGTAATGCCGCAGAGCATCTCACTGCTTTACATGCTGAATACTGTTGATACTACAGTCTGTTGGTCGCTTAGCAGCTCAGCTCGGGAAACACTCTCCTTCAAGGACACTTCAGCTCTCTTATGAGCTATCAGACGCATGGACATAAGAGATAGAAGGTGGAAAACCTTGTTCCCAAGCAAACAGCACAAGACAGTGTTTTTGTCAGTATCACATCATGTAAATGATGATTTTGTACACTGAACCTGTTTTTTTTCTTTGGGATGATCTTAAAGTGAGGAAACTCTTTTTTTTTTATCAACATTGTTCAGTTTTACCGTCATTCCTGATTCCTCACTGCTTAAGTTTTCCGCTTCCTGGCACTGAATCGCTGCAGGTCGGTGAGCTACCTGGCTAGCCACGCACCTGTCGAGGCAGAAGACCACCTCCTTGGAGATATTTTGCTTTTTGAACGTTTCAGTTCATTGCTGCCACAGTGGAAGCACTTTTCCCAGCCAAGCTCTTTAGGCAAAAAATGCAATGCACCATGTTGGTTGTTTAATCATATCTCAGTGTTTCTCCACAAGTTTAGACTTTACTTATGGTTCATATGCAGAGATGAGAAGGGAAGAGTGTAATCTAGGTTATATTCTGAAGCTACAACTGACTGATGTCCTCAAGAAGACGGTACCTGGTGGCGTGCTGTGCTCAGAGAAGTGCTCCACTCAAAAACACACAGAGACAGACCTGCTAAATGTCAGGAACACCAGTGAAACCAGTAAAAATGTTAGGTCACACTCGACAGATTATTTGTTACATGGGGTCCTGCAATATCTAGAAATTGTACACATGATCTATGCATCCAGCCATCCACGACAGACGCTTCATCCTGTGGAGGGTAACGGCAGCTGGAGCGTAGCCCAGCTAAGGCAAAAGGCACATAAAATATATTCCGTAAAATGTATTTAAACATAAGACTGAAGCAGAAATGCTCACTTTGTCTTATCCATTATTAAACATTGTGGGAGTGTAAACAAAGTTTGGCCACCAGGGGGCCAATAGTTGGTTTCACTATTGTTTCACTCTGTGTGGGGTTTCAGAACCACTCCTTTCTTCAGAGACATCATCCACCCTCTGCTTTGCATCTTTGAGGAGAAGGATTCATACTGCAGCCGGATGATGAATCCAAACACACCTCAAAGCTTCCACTTGCAGACCAAAAAAGACAAAGAAGTGCTATTGTTCATGAACTGTCCTCCACAGTCACCTGACCTCGACCCCACTGAAGAAACTGGTGGAGTCCGTGCAGCTCAAGTGCTGCTGTCGTTAAAATAAATACTAAGATACTGATGTGTGTGGGTGTGCAGATCGAACACGAACCTCATGATGAAGGGCATGAAAGGAGCGAGTCCCAGTGGTGAAGAGGATCCGTCCATTGGTGACGGGTAGAGGCGACTGAGGACCAGCAGCAGCAGGAACAGACTGGGGTGTAGCTTCACCTGACCACTGTCACTGGACACACACAAACAGGGAGGCAGACTTTAAGTATTTTTAAAAGATATATATTAACATTGCCTTAAATGTACAGGCAACAGCAATGCATAACAAATAGAGGTCAATGGCAACTGCATTGTCTATCAATCAAGGTTTTTGTTGATGGCAAAAGTGTTTACAGCCAAAAAAAGTGCAAAATGTGCTAAATTGTGCACACATATAGGCAGTCTTTCTTCAAAAATACTGGACAGGACAGGACAGGACAGGACAGGAAAGGAAAGAAAAGGAAAGGCGAGGACAGGAAAGGAAAGGACAGGACAGGAAAGGAAAGGAAAGGAAAGGAAAGGAAAGGAAAGGAAAGGAAAGGAAAGGACAGGACAGGACAGGACAGGACAGGAAAGGAAAGGAAAGGAAAGGACAGGACAGGACAGGACAGGACAGGACAGGACAGGACAGGACAGGAAAGGACAGGAAAGGAAAGGAAAGGAAAGGAAAGGAAAGGAAAGGAAAGGAAAGGAAAGGAAAGGCGAGGACAGGAAAGGCGAGGACAGGACAGGACAGGACAGGACAGGACAGGACAGGAAAGGACAGGAAAGGAAAGGAAAGGAAAGGAAAGGAAAGGAAAGGAAAGGAAAGGGACGGGACGGGACGGGACGGGACAGGAAAGGAAAGGAAAGGAAAGGAAAGGCGAGGACAGGACAGGAAAGGAAAGGAAAGGAAAGGACAGGAAAGGAAAGGACAGGACAGGACAGGAAAGGAAAGGAAAGGACAGGACAGGAAAGGAAAGGAAACTTCACTTGATTATCGAAGGGCTGTTGTAAATATGTGGGAAGAGATGTGTGCAGTTGGGCACAGTGAGTTTGTGGTTGCAGTCTTGTCAGCATGCTCATATTTAGCTGTCCTGTCTGTCATCTCCCTGTGAAACAACTGAACATGACTAAAGACAACTTAGCCTGGCATAACGTTGTGTTAGCGCTCAATGGATGTTGCAACAGTGCTCTTGAATAGTGTGAGGGGAATTGTTTTGGTGACTAATTCACTGAAAAGAATCAAGCAGGGCTCCCCTACGCCCAGTGGAAATAGCAAATTTAATCTTCATCTACATCCAGTGAGTCAGACAAGCTGAACTTGAAAAGTTTGGATAGCAATAATTGTTGTAATGCAGTTAGAAAAAACACACACCACAGAGTAGAAATCAGGAATGTATGACTGTGTAAAAGTGGGATTTGTTTCAGTAAACAAAGCACAGAGTTTCAATCAGCTATCCTTTACCCTCTCCCCTTCACACTAACCCCACCGTGTTGAGACAGACAGCCCACCTCTCTGACCCTGGCTCTACTGTAGGTTTCTTTCTGTTTAAAGGGGCTTTTTTTTTTCTTCTTTCCACCGATACCAAAGGCTTGAGGGATTCTGAGGGAAACCTTTGAATTTGTTGGGCTTCTCTCTATAATTTTGGAAGCTCTTCACCTTACTATGTGAAGTGCTTGGAGATGACATATGTTATGAATTGGCACTACATAAATAAAACAAAACTGAATTAAACTGAATTGTGGGGGAAGAAGGGTTGTGGGGGAGGCAGCCCACCATTGGACCACCATAGTCGACATAGAGTTTAGAATGCCGTTGAGGTACGAGGCTTTACCAGAGAGGAGGCGCAGATTTGTTCTATTTTTTTTCACCCCCAAAAGTAAAAATTCTCTGCTGGAGAAGCTGATAGTTTTTAAAAATTTGATTTCACATTATAATCTGTATTCAAACTATCACTTTATTTTAACCATGTAGCTGTTTTAACAGGATCTCCTAGAAGCACTTGTTAGAGATATTAACATACAGAATCACTCGGGAGGTTCCACTGCAGGCTTTGAGTGCTTCTGACTCCAACTTGATTTATATATATTGGCGAGAAATACAGTCCAGTCCATAAGTAGTTACAGTGACACAATTTTAATAACTTTGCCTTTGAAATACAGTAATTAAGATGCCACTGAAGTGTAGACTTTTAGCTTTAATTCAAGGGTTTTAAAGGAACACACTACCTGTTTATGAATTGTTTTTAGAAAGTCTCTCAATTTTCAGCCCGAAAAGTAGTTTGACTAACCAACATAATTGTAAATATAAAGGTGACTGTCCACCTGTGCTGTGAAGTGTTGTTCTATCAGTTTTAAAGCTTTTGACTGTGTCTGTGCAGATCATATAGTTGTCACCCTGCTGCTTCTATCAGCAGTCACATCATCGGTAAACAGCAGCGACCCAGTTCCTTTGGCAGCCATACATGCACACGCCATAACACTGCCTTCACGTTTGACAGATGATGCGGTGCTTTGGATCATGAACATTTCCTATCCTTCTTCACACTTTGCTCTCCCCATCGCCCTGGTACATCTTCTCTTAATCTTTATACAGAATCTTGTTCCAGAACTGGACAGCTTGTTTGTTTTTTGTGGTAGAAAGAAACTAATCAGAGGAGGAATAAGTTTGACATAGCTAGGCCTTCGTTGTGAAAGCCAGCGCAAATAAAAAACAAAAAAACTTTATGAAGACATCTCTTGATTATGAACTTAAGGAGATCCTAAAGAGGGTTCTGGACCTGGCTTGATGTTGTGAAGGAGCTTTTCTTCACCAAGGAAAACAATTCTGGAAACGTTCACTTTAGTTGTCTTTTGGTGTGGCTGAGCTACACTTTTTTATAGGACTATACAAGATTGATATTTGGCCACAACTTGTGTTTCTGCTGTCCCTTTGACAGGTCTGTTTTTGGTTTTCAGCCTCACGATGGACTCCTTTACTTGCATCGACACCTCTGTGAGCAGTGTAGTGAGAGGTACCGTGACCACCTATCAAAAGCAACCTCAACACGTGGAAACTACTGCTGTCCCTTTATGTTTTTAATCTGTCATGAAACAACAAGCAAACCAACCACACCAGGCCACAAAACTACTCATCAATCAATTGTCCATTTACTTTTGAGCCCTTGAAAATGAAGGCACTCCATATAAAATGCCTGCCTGCCTCTTGAATTAAATCTGAAAGTCACATCATGTGATTGTGGCTGCAGTGCGTTGGCCATTTTCAGCAACAGGGTCAAACAGCAACACGCCTCACACATGAAAATCCTAAAAAATTCCAACGCAAAATATAAGTGTCCTGAATTCCTCCTGCTCTTCTACACACGCTGCATGTCTAAAACCACCCACACTCCGATACAGTCATCTCCTCATCTGTCCTTGAACCGAGCTTTTCACCTCCCTCTTTTCCTCCATCCAAATCTCATCACTGCCAGCTGAGTCACAATGGAAACTATCTTTCTCTGCCAGCGGTTTCACAGTTTCACTCTGACACACTCGCAGCGAAGGAAGGAGGGAGGAAAAACGGAGAAAAAGAAAAGAAACGGACAGGGACTCTACGTATATCTGGTATCGAGTATGAAACAGGGCCACGCTTTGCTGTCAGAAAAGTTTTATTGCTTCCCTTCCTGCTGTCATCACAGTTGAATTCGAGAACTTCATGGGAAAACAGTGTTTACAACGTATGGAGCGCCTGGCAGCCGAGCTTTGCGGAGGCGAGCAGTATGTCCTTCGGGCCCTGTCATTAGTCATGAGGATCTCATAGAACGGAGAACAACAGAACAGCGAAAACAACGTGTGCTTTTCATTAAATCATTCAACAAAACACACACTCGGAACCATCCGCTGGGACCGCCATAGATCGGCGAGATGGGAAATGTAATAGCAGGCCAATTAGTAACTGGTCTAATGTGTTTAATGTCACAGTTCAGTCAAGCACAGCAGGACGGGATGTGACGTCACGCAGACAGGAGGGGGGCAGACAGAGGCGAATTGCAAACATATTAGGCCTTGTTGCGATACAGCTGGAGGCAGAAACACTTGACGGGATGAAAAAGACTCCGTGGCATTTAAGGGCACTCTCAAATTCCACGCGGAGGTCTTCCATGAACGTCTGCCCTCTCTGTCCAACCTCCTCAATCATCTCCAGCATTTGATGAAAAGGTTATTTTTTGTTTTTCATCTTTTAAAGAGGGTGGAAACAGAACGCAGACCTTAAGTGTTTTAATTCTTCATTTAGAAAGTGGTGAAAGGAAGCAGTAGCAAAGACACAAAAGACACTCTAAAGTAAACCGAAGCTTTAGCTTATCATTTATTTGCCTCTCAGACAAACAAATCACCACTTCTACTTAGAAAATTACTTTGAAAATGATACAAAAACTGCTTCCTTTGTAAGTGAAGGCAGGGGCAGATAAGATAAAGCACTGCAACAAATCACATCAGTGCAAAACGTGGGCACTGACCTGAAATAGCTTCAGAGATAAACCTGGTTGAGTTTGCTACGCGGAGATAGTAACATTAGGAATGCAAAACTCCATCCTCTTACTCAAAACCCCGTCTCCTTGCACAGACAGTAAGTGTGCGCTTGTGCTCACAGGATGTTCTTTTCAAAATCCAATTTGCTGTGTTTAGGGTAGGTGCATTTACGAGCAGACAGCGTGGCTGGGGGACTGTCTAGTCAGGACACACAATGGCTGAGATAAGGAGGGGACACTAAAGAGAAACCTCACGTCTAATAACACAGAATCCAGACGATGACTCAGATTCAGATAAAATCGCTGGTAAAAAAAATATATAAAAAAAAAAAATCAGACGTGTTATTCACTAAACAAACAGGTGGTGAATGTGTGCAGTGTTTGTCTTGGGCCAGATTTTTTTTGGTTTGCTCTAAATCACGTGACATTAGTTCCATCACTTTATTTTAGTAAGAGTTTGATTAAGCCTCTGAATCCCTGGATGCTTTCACAGTATGAAGACCTGCAGCTCCATGGAAACAGCCCAACCATGACTAGAAGTAGACAGAACTCAGGAATGTCTTCTGAGCAGTTTGACAAAGTTAAAATGCCACAAATCAAAAAAATTATGAGTTAACATTTTGATCATTTACTTTATAAAACTGAAAATATGTTCCCACAGGTATCACCAATATTAAGGTAAAAATGGTAGGAACACATGTAATAGATATTGTGCTACCTACAGTTTTAAAGCCTCTAGATGTTTCATTCTTCACTGCACACTAACTCTGAACAGATACGTCACCATGCTGAATGCATCGTCCAACAACTTGCTCCAATATTTATAGTATTTAAGTCATACAGCAACATACTAGAAGCTGTAGCCTGATCCAAGATGTGCTTGAGTAACAGACACGGCCGCAGGATATTCTCGGCCATATGCTGGGCCACTTTCTCCTGATTTGCTGTAATCATAACCCCCTGTCATTGCATGTGCATGCACATATAGATGTATGCATGACACGTGTCATATTAAATTCTGTGTTTGGGCATACACGGCTCCATGTATGTAACCTGAGCATATATTCATATCTAAATAGAGTATGGAGCAAATTTCTCTCTTCTGTGTATATTGTTTCACTGTGTGTTGTGGTATCTCTTGGGCGCCAAGTGGGAGGAGTGGGCGGAGGCAGGGATTGTATATGTATGCATGTACAGTGTATGATGGTGTCAATTCAACTAACAGAATCCCAGCAAAGACAATCATGTAATGCTAGGCTGCTGTAAACAATATCTTTATTGTAATAATAATAAAGAAAAAAATGGACCAATGGACTTCTACTGAGCAGGTGGACTAAAACACAGCAGACATGGGATACACTGCTGCTTGGTCTACTGTTTAAGTGACAGCCTTCAAACATCAAACATAGATTTATGATGTCCTAAACAATGAAAATTCTGTCCATGTGTGTCCTATTTTAAAATCAGGACAGTTCCTATGTAACAAATGATGTCACCGCAGCTGACAAACTGTGACCCTGAGTGCAACGGCTCTCCTGTCTCGCTAATTCTGATCAATCTCATCTCCAGATTGGGGATAATGAATCCTTATAAGTAACTCGTGAAGTAACTGCTGTTCTTCTTTGTGTGTAAATGTACGCAACTCTCTTTCTCTTTGGAGATGGATCCTGCTGCTGTCTGATCCTGCAGGTGCTTAATAACTTTATAGTGAAAATTTAGCAAAACCAAACCTCTGCTCCTGGCAATGTTTTGTCAAAACCTGGATTACATTTATTATGAGCGAGTCTCTCTCTCTCTCTTTTTTTTTTTTTTTACATTTTAGAGCAAAGGGAATAAGGAAGATGTTTTATGATTTTGACTCTCAAACTGTGTCTTTGGCACTCTGAGACTAATATTGGTGTTGTAATGTGGAAAAAGCCTCCAAATCATTTCACACAGCTTGAAGCAAGTCATCTACCTTTCTGCTAATGTGACTGGGAGCAGTTCAGAGTCATGCTGTGTTAAAAGTGATGCAGAAATGACGGAGAAGTAAGCAGGGGGCTCATTCAGACATGGAGCAGACATGTTCCGATGCCATCAGATTGACAGAAAGGAGCACATGTCTGCAACAAGCTTCATAAGTCACCTTTAAAGGTGTTTCTATCCCAATGTTGTGTTCAGAAATTGTTGAAGCTGTCAACAAGTGGCTAAAGAAAATCAGTTATTTCAGGAAAAAAGCATGGCATCCAACCCATCCAGGCGGTAGAATAACATGCAGACAGTTAAAACATGCTGAGCCGCTCCGTCCACATGCTACAATAATAAATGCTGCCAGAGGAAAAGCAAAGATTCCCATCTACAAGTGCATTAAAGCCATTTTTTGTTTGTGCTTTGCTCTGTGTTTGCATTTCAGCTTGTTGATCACATAACTATCTTTGGACACAGGACTGTCATAATATTTCTTTACAGTCTTCGTTTGAGGCCTTTTTGTAGAGGAAGGGTGGATTACATAATGCATAATGTATATATGTGGACACAGTTTCAGATGTCACTGCTATAATCTTTCCTATACCATGGACAGTTTTAGAAATTTCCTTCTACTGTAACTTCTGCACGTCTGTTTAAAACCACTAAACTCCCGTCCTGCAGCGTATGGCCTCAGCATGGTGCGGTCGGTCTGTTTGGGTGGCGCGATACGGCGAGATGATGTGGGAAGTCAGACAGCCAAGATCTGGTTCCGTGGGAAATTTGCAGATGTTTTAACAGGGGTCGAAGGGAGTGAGGGGAATTGTGAAAGAGCCGGTCTGAAAGAGCTTTCAATTAATTGGATCCATATTAAGATAAGGCTGCCTGGGGATCTGTTGGACGACTCAGATGCTTTTAAAAAGGGAGTTTCAGCTGAGCTGACAAAGATAAGGCCAATGAACCTCAGTGGACTCAACTCTCCGCTGCACAAAAACACTAAACTACATCTGAACAAGACATTTACTTTATTCGGCCATAAAGCCTTGTGCTTTGAACAAACAGTCTGTCAACTGAGCAAGTAGTACTTTGGGGAAAAAAAGACCCACATGACAAGTCAACGCAAGGAAATGCTATTTGATCAGAGAAAACAATGGACTTCCCAGTTCACTGATGAAAAGTTGCACTAACTTCACCTCTTCCACCTTGTTACTCCATGAAGCCTCCCGGCACAAAAGCACCTCTGCTAAATCAGCTTAAGAAAACAAAAAAGCTGTCTCGTGCAGCTTAGAAAACTTAAAAGTAAAATTAAACCTATAATGGGATCAGGGATGTGTGAAAAGCCACGGCGAGGGCTCAATGTGGAGTGTGCATGTGTGCGGATTAAAAAAAAAAAAAGGCCACCTCACCTTTCCACTGTGGCTGCAGCCTCCTCCAGCTGGCTCAGGAGGAACGGATAGAGGGCTGGAAAACGGGTGAAGAACTCCCTCCCTGTCATCCTGCAGGCAGCGGCAGAGAAAGACAGGAGGTTTTTAAACTGTAATAAGGACACTTAAGTACATAAGCAGAGAAGTAAGGATTCATAAACAGGCAGTAAGGAGGCAGTTTTGAGACGGAGGTTTAAGGCAGTGGCTCCTTATAAAGGTTTTTAAGGGTAAAGAACTTAGTTTTCCTTTTTTAGTCTGCAGCCATGCGAGCAGTTCTATGAGACTTGTACTGACAGCAGTGACAGGCTGTCCAGCAGATATAAAGTTTACCATCGTAGTTCAGAATGTCAGCATGCTAACATTTCAAACATAAAACACAGCTGAGGCTCATGGTAATGCCATTATTGTTGTAAGTTTTAACAGGAAAAATTCAAATTCAGACCTGATGAGGAGGTGGACGTATATTCAAGTACTCCGCTAATTTGAATTATTGTACTTGAGTGTTATCTTTTATTCATGTACTTCTTCATATAAAAGATATAAAGTGCATATAAAGTGATGATTTTTTGATTTAGACTAAACCACTCACACATATAAACAAGTAGAGAAAGAGATGATTACAGAAAATCAATTAGCAACTATTTAGACTATTGTCATTTTCAATGCAAAGACTCCAGACATTGATGCTTCCAGCTTCTCAGACATGATGATTTGCTGCTGTTCGTTTTATTTAAATAACCCTCATTTATTTTTAAGTCCCTCTCTGGTCATTGTTTAAACCCCTAAAAATGCATCTCTGTATATCAAGGTTAGAAATGTAGATGTTTTCTCCATGAAAACAATCCCCTCCTGTCTTAAAATGCCTTCAGTGTAGCTCTGCATCATTGCTTCCGCTGGAATGTGCAGATCTGTGAAGTCCTTACTGCTCTCTTAACACACCTCTTAGGGACTCACTCACTAGCAAACCTACAACTCTGCTCAACCACTGTAGAACCGCTCAACGGCACAGAGCAAAACTGGAGTAATTTATTCATAACAGTTTAAACCATGAACTGATTCAGAAGAAGACTGATGATGCAGGCAGTCCCACCCTGCAAGCTGAGTGGTTCAGGATTGGATCATTATGTATATGAAACGTTGGAAGTCTGAATCCACCATTTTTTGTCATCTGTACACCACAGTTTAATGGTAGAAATACTCAGACATGGTACTGACTGCTCATTTCTCTCATGATGTGTCTTCTAGCATATAAAAAACACACCATATGCACATGTTAACAAGGAGAAACTACTGGAGGGCCTGATTTCAATTTAAAAAAATATTTACTAAAAATTAAACAGCTGATCAACCTACAAAATTATCATTTGTTGCAGTAAAAATTACCACAAACCCCCTATTTTTTAATGATGCATGACAAATGACAAACTTGATAAACGATGCAATACGCAATCATCCAACAGTCAAAGGGACCATCTTCTGCACTGAATACATGGTGGGATCAAGAAATTCCCTCTAAAAAGCAAAGCCCACACCACCATAACAGATTTTGCCACTATCCACTGTGCAGGGATACACTCTTCCCAGCACTCCTGGCACATCTGGAAGGCTTTCTGGAAGTCCCATTCTGACCATTCGCAGATGCACATTTGCGATTCCAACCACTGATCTCGAGCTTGTGCAGAACGCCAACATCACGTTCAACCTTTATGTCAAGGAATATCACTGGTCACATGAGTTGGTTTTATGGCTACAACCGGAGACCAAAAGGCAGCGTCCAGTGGAAGAGTCTGCGAGACAGAAGAACGCCAAGAGCATCCTCATTGTTTGGTTTGACATTCATGGGAGTTGTGCATCGTAAAGTCCTTCCCAGGTTCAGAGCTTGGACTGTAAACTTCGACTGTTAATGTCCTGAGGTGTCTGAGGGACATCATTTAGCACAAAGGACCAGATCTGTGGCACGAGTCATCAGCTTTTTGGCTGCATCAACACAACATTCAGTCTTCATCCACCCTTTGGTTCCTTAAGACATCTTCCTGTTTCAAAATTCATCCATCCATTATCTATACACCGCTTAATCCTCATTAGGGTCGCGGGTGGGCTGGAGCCCATCCCAGCCGACCCAGGGCGAAGGCAGGGGACACCCTGGACAGGTCGCCAGTCCATCACAGGGCCACACCCAGAGACAGACAACCAAGCACACTCACACCTACGGACAATTTAGAATCACCAATTAACCTCAACATGTTTTTGGACCTTGTGGGAGGAAGCCGGAGAACCCGGAGAGAACCCACGCTGTGTGGGGAGAACATGGAGACTCCACGCAGAAAGATTCCAGTGCCCCCACCGGGACGCGAACCGGCAACCTTCTTGCTGCGAGGCAACAGTGCTAACCAACTGCGCCACCTTGCAGCCCCTGTTTCAAAATATGAAACTGAATTCGCCATTTTGACACAGGGGAGGAAATCCAGGGCATGCCACAGGTTGGTGATCGAGTAGTGTACAGAATAAAACCTTCAGGGAGTATACAAAGTGTGGAAGGAGCAGCGGGAGCGCTGTATTACTGCACAAGACGACTGCTTTGAAGTGGACGGTGGTCCAATCCAAGTTAGGTACAGTGTTTAGTTGTTATAGGTTCAGACTGGGAATGTCTTCAATGCAAATTAGTTTTCAATTATTCTATACTTATTTTTACTTAAGTCACATTTTCTAAAAAGAACTTTTACTTGAATTGGAGTAAGATTTAGTAGAATCAAAATATCTGGGATTTTCCTCCACCCCTGCCTGACGGTGATGCTGAGTGCAGATCAAAGTTCGAAAACAAATGCCTGTGCTTTCACACGAAGCAGACGCTGTAAGGAGAAATAATAAAAAAGTTAAAGGAAACTGACAATCAGCCCTCTTGATCTTCAAAACAAGCCGATTTCGAGAGACACCGTATAAACTAAAGTCAAAGATCAGAAGCACTTGGAAAGCATGCAAACGGGGAATGTGTTTTACATTTTAAAACAGTCACAAAGAGAAGGTAAAACTGAGTTAGTGCTGCATAAAAACACAGTGTGTAAAATGTCTGAAGAGTGTAAAACTAGAACTAGAAAAAGGAATAATAGTGATTTTACAAGGATCAAACTTGAATTTCAGTTCCTCTAATTACATTACAGAAAGTCATGATTAAGTTCGTATGTTCCTGACACAAGCTTCCATAAAAGTGAAAAAAAGCGGCAGAGGGGAAGTGATGGGGAGAGTCTACAGACAAATGTTGTGAAGCTCCGATAAGGAGATGTTCTTGTGCCACAAACGCTCTACCTAAACAAATCAAGCCTGTACGTTTGCTTCCCCGACTAAGGCCAGAAATAAACAGTCCTAATTGTGTGTATGCATATATGCAGCACCCATGTGCCACTGTCACGTGTGTTTGTGCTTATGCATTCAACTCACTCACGTACACAACTGTCAATAAAATGACAAACTTTATATTTAACCCTGGCGGTCTCGCTGCTGCAACCGCCATTCAGCCTCAGGGCCAATAAAGTTTTTATTTAACTCAGCCCGTCTAAATCAAGTCGCTCCTAAAGGGAAGAGGTCTGGTCTGCCAAGCACTTGATCACAAGACTGGAGAGATCGCATACTGCTTTAGTCACGACTGGCACCGATTCTGGACCAACACACACACACACACACACACACACACTCTTTGGACCTGGTTCAAGTTAGCAGCCGGTACTGTCATAGTAGGAAAGTGAGTCATGTGTGTAGGTTTGAAAACCCCTTCCAACCTGGATGTGACACACACACACACACACACAGGGGAAATATGAAGATAATTGTACATGAGCGCTGCATATGGAAACAATGGCCAAAAAAAAACACACACCCTGATGTACAGGCCTGGCTGTGTTATATAAGCATGTGTGTGCTTCCCATCCTCCTCTGCTTTCCCTAATGAGAGTCTCTCAGTCTGACAGGACTGCGCTGCCTGGAGGACAAAGGTCGGAGGTCGCGTCGGAGCAGATTAGATGGGGTAAAAGGGGTAAGGGTCACAGAGGAGGAGCGAGGAGAGGGGAGGAGGTGTAAATGAAAAGGCCTGGTCATGTTTGCGGGCTCACAGCTGTGTGTGCGTACACTCAGCTGCAACCTTCCAGCCAACGGGCGCAGAACGTGTGTTTAGAATTTGTTGTCGTACACGAGTAGACTTCTTTTCAGAACGCGTGTACAAAATGTTCCACACTCTGTTATTATGTATACCTGACAATCTAACGCTAGCCAGAGCAACTGTTCTTCCTTTACAACTACTTTTATGGTGCTGATAATGTTCAGCTTTGGTCAGGTGCTCATTAAATTATATGGAGTCGGTTGTTGTGCTGTGCGAGGATGTTACACTACATCGATATCTATTTTTTTTATAGTTTTTTTTATATTAAGGCTTTACCGAAGTCATTTCTGAATTCTAAATGAGTTGCTTGTCTAAACTTCTAACCTGCTTTTATTGCAACCCTTACCCACAGACTGAGAATTGTAATTCCTGACAGGGTAAAGATAAGAAATAAGAACTTTATATTTACTTTTTTCCTTCCACATTCATCATCTAACAGTCGTCAGATTCATCCTGAAGAGGCTCGAGGTTGGAAACACGGGACTAGACTTTGTTGCTGCACCTCAAGTAGATGAAACTTTCTCCACCGTGACCAGTTACAACACTACTGATGCATCACATGTACAATCTAATAATGTAATATATAAAGAATGCATCACTTACAAGAACCACTTTCCTCATCTCCAACATTTCCAACCTTATCTGCATTTTTCTGATGATACGTCTGCTCTTTACCTGAAGGGGAACTCTGTTGATTTCACTCATCAGTGTCTGTTTGTTGGAAAGCATCTGTAAATAAAATGTGTATAAAATCTTTTTTGGCTCCAGAGGGTGTGTGTGTGAAGTCTGAAAAATTACCCAATTTTAGTCGGCGTAAATGAAAAATTCTGGGTGGTGTGGACTAACCAGACCTCTGGAGCTCACCTCTCCTCGAGGCTAGCGGCTTCGAGCTAAATTAGCCGCTACAAGAAAAAGACACTGAACTGTAGGTGGTCAAGTTGAATTGTGGGTAATTCAGGCGCCAGCAGGTTTTGACAGGGAAGAGAAATGAACTCTCTCTGGTTCTGCTGTATCAGTTTTGACCTTGTTTGATCAAAAGTCTGACAGTGTTATAAAACGTTAAATCAGTGAAATACTCATCTGGATCGTGGACTTTTTCCTTGTGAGTAAATGATGTGATACTTTTTCCACCACTGATAATAGGTTATACGAGAAACCCTGTTAAGGCGCCTCCAGCGGTGTGTAAACAAACTTTTACTACAACACTCATAAGTCCTCGGTAACAATAATTTGGACTTTTTTTTACATATACAAGACGAGTGCAAAGTGAGGAGTTGACGCAGCCTTGAGATAAAGCTGGTAGGGTTTTGGTTGGAATGCAGAAAGCAATCTTCATTCTGTCAGCTTTGTTTATAGCTGCATTTATCTCAACAACGATATCAGATCAACATCAGTGCGCGGTCAGGAGAGCGGAGAGAGGCCCGAGTCTGGGCTCGGCGGAACGATGATCCGCAAGCAAACAATATGTCTGGATGCAAATAACTTTGGAAAATACACAGCTGAAATTCCCACAGAGCAGCAAGAAGCTCAGCGTTTCCAAACACAAAAATACACATAATGCCTGCAAAGAAACTGGTTTGTGTGAGAGGGAAACGTGTTTATGCTCCGGCTTCGGTCGGCCAAGAGACCCTCACACACACACAGAGTTAAATATTAGAGTGGACAAGCTGTCAAAATAGATTTTCTGCTGCCAGAGATCACAACCGTAAAATCACGGTAATAACAGAGACCAGACGTGACACAATTATAAATGAGATGCAGCTTATTTGCTCATACACGCACAGTTCGGCAACAATTTCAGGTCAGCCCGAAGTGACTTACTGGCACGATGACGGGTACGCTGCAAGAACGCTAATATAGAAGCCTTGTAAAGTCACACTAAATTACAAGTTAGAGTTCAAATGCTAATTTTCTTATCCATCATTTATTATTATTTCTCATTAATCACTGTGCACGGACTCTCCCATGTGCACATTAAAAAAAAAAACTTGAATAATAAGAAAGTCAGCAGCAGACAGGAGGAGGGGGGAGATAACTGAAAGCCATAGAGGGCCGGACAGCAGATTAAAAACACAAGATAAACAGAAGCAGCCTTGGCTTGGTTAACAGTATTCAGAGGCCTTCAGGGAAGCAGCCAAGTATAGGGAACCAGACTGAGTGTTCTGGAGCAGAACCCAAAGCCCTGGGAAACTTTACACTGGATTATCCATGGGCTAACAAATCACCGCTGAGCTCAATACAGACCTCAGTACAACTGTCATGTTGTCCCGTAGTACTGCCAAATGGTACATGCACGTTATTATTATGTTTGCTTCAATATGTTCGGAATATTAGATGGATCACTGTATCAGTTTCAACAGCGGAGGGTAAGCTATCAATCATGACAACTATTCTTATACGTCTAGCCACAAACCCAGACAGATTGATGCAATGGGAGGAATAAAAAAATAAGACATCTTACTATGTGAGATGAGCATATGTGACATATTTTCCTGTGTCGTCATATGTTTTTGTGATTCTGTAATCGTGTGAAACCTATTGCAGAATCTGAAGCGCTAACCAGCACCAGAGCGCGGGTATACGCAAAGATACTCTGGTTTTAAGTCAACATTCACTTGTGGATTCATGCGGGATTCAAAGCCTGCTCTCCTGAGTAAAAGAACTCTGTTGAACCCGTTGCACCGCGATGTCCTGCTCTGATTGGTGGCTTTGTCACTCTTAATACTCTCTCACCTGCTCTGGCTGAAAAGACCTGTGAGTGGCCAAAGTCTCCTGTCACAATTAGATTTTTTTAAAGCCTGAGTATGGAGCCAGGAGGCCATGCAGGAGTCGAGTTTCCTCTCAGACCACTTGAATTAGGCTAGTATGGAATTTTTGCCCAATGACACCAAAAATTACTGCCTATCCAACTTTAAATTAGATACAACAAATAAAATATATGTGGTGTAAAAAAAAACAACAACCTTTGAACGTGCCTGGTATTATCTTCATTATCAAGGTTTCCAAACATGGGCTGTTTGTTTGACAAAGCATCGGCAAGCTGTTTGAATTTAAGACTCTTCCTCAAACCTCCTAAAAACAATCCACAATCTTTCAAACAATCTTTGACAGCAAAGCTGATAACTTTCCAACTAAAACAAAGACAGCTAAACCTCTAAACAGATTCATCATCTGCACAAACCCAACCTCATTCTGGGTGTGTGACGGCTGCAGATCAACATATAAACATCTTACCCACCTCTAACTGGCAGCGTCTCCAATATCATCACCTGTGTTGTTGCTGCTTGTGACTGTTTGTCTAAATGTCAGTCTACATCAAGCTTAAGCTCTGGATTTACTGTATCAACAAAACATGAAGCCTCTTATTGAAGGTTTAGCCTCTGAAATGATCATTTAAAGTTTCATAAATATAGCATCACCTTGGGTTTCATTAGATATTTTTAGTGCCTCTGGTCTAAATGTTGTTTCAGATGTTTTTTTGCACGCTGATTATAGAATATAGGGAACATGTGGAACAGAGTGCATGTCCATACTCTGGACTACAGCGCTGACAGACCTGTTCATATCAGACATGTGGCTTTTTTTCACCTTGCTGTTTGTAATTGCATTTTAATGGCATGTATTTACAACAAATCTAGCTGTATTGTTCATTTCAATATCCATGATAAAGCAAAGAAAAAGAAAAGAAAGAATGAATGTTGTGTTTCTGCTTTATTACTTTATTCTGCGCCTCCAGTGTCACTTCCTAATTGTTGATACAGGATCAGTAGAAACCTGCATCTCAGCAGACAATCAGTCAGGAGGTCTGTGTACAGCGAACGGCTGCATTTCTGCGAGGGCAGTGTTACAACAGCGCCCCCCGGTGGTCTAAAACAACCAGTGATGCTACAGATCTGCTTCTACCTTTATTTTTAAGCATCCTATATTTACATTTAGGATTTTTTTTTGCTTACTGTTGAAGCACTAAAAACAGTTTGGATTTGTTTCCTTCTATGCTACAATAATAACATTAAGGGCGACATCTCATTGTTGTTTTAAGATTTTTTTTGACATCTTTTTGCACTGCTGAACCAGAATAGAAAGCTGAAGTGGGCAGAGGACTACAAGAGAGGAGGGAAGCAGCAGACCTGTTCTTTTTCGAGTGCTCGTCCTTCCCTTTCTTCACTCCAAAAATCCTTGTGATCAGAGTGCTGAAGAGAAGAGTGGAGGAGTTCCTCACCTGGGGGGAAAAAAAATAAAAGTGAAGCAAAGAGGATAGAGGGCAAAGTGCAAATACCAGCATCACAGGATGAGGAATTAGAAAGCACTGACTTTGTTCAGCATGATGCAGTTTTGCAGCAACATTATGCCTAAAGTGTACACTCCTGTCTCCTGTCACTCCTGGAATACGTGCTCACGTTATGGAGGTTTAATTTATTGTTTTTAAACTGAGGTAGAAAATATGAGACTCACTGCCCACACAGGAGAGGTGAAGCCCAGAACAGCAGCCCGCATTCCTTCTGAGACGAACGGAATAATGTTTTCCCCCAGACGAGTGTCCCTGTACAGAGCTCTGAGGATGTTCAGAGCATGGACCTGTGGTGAGGACAAGAGGCAACTATTCAAATTACAGTAAAGACAATCCTCTGCTCTGTTGAGAAGAATTTCAAGAACCATTTAGTTTATTAAGAGCGAAAAATCAGTCACACCAGCATCCCCAGTGATGGCAGAGCCCAGATGGATGATTCATGCACGAAGCTGCTAGGTGGTCAAACCTGTGGCACGGTGGAGCTGTCGGTGGTCCTGTCAGCTGAGGGCATGGCCAGAGCAATCAGCTCCCTCATGGTCATCTTCAACAGACTGCAGCTGGATGACTTGGGTTCAGAGGAAAGCAGAGCCTGAGGAAGAGAAACATACACACAGTAAGTAGAATATCACAACTAAATTCCACGACTGTTTTCACATATGCAGAAGTAAACAACAACACCAGTAAACAGGTTCCGTTCCCCTTTAATATTGACTCTCTCTCTTTGGAAATCATTGTTCTGCTGTTTTCACCGTTACAGTAACAAGACAAGGTTTGGATTTTGTTGCACTATTAACACAAAACTAGGAGAACAGGAGATGCAGCATCCATCTGAAGTGTTTTTAACTTCCTCAGAGTAGCCACTGTTTGTGTTGATGACACGCTTGCGTACAATCGGGAAATTCCTAAGCGGCTTCACGAGGCCGTCACCTTGAATAGTTTTCAGTTAACAGGTATCGAAAGTTCCCTGGTGGAAACTCTTGCCTCAGTTCTTTTTAGATCATCAGCTGTGCCAAGGAAGTGTTGGAAAGTATCACTATTCAGCTACTATAGAATCAATAGTATGACAAGAACCGCTCAACTAAGCAAAGAGAAACAACAATCCATTATCGCTGTAAGACACGAAGGTCGGTCGATCCGCAAAATTCAAGACCTCAGAAAGTCTTAAGAACCATCAAGCTCATGTGATGAAACTGGTTCTTGAGGACCACCCCAGGAAAGAAGGACTAAATATTGCCTCTGCTGTAGAGAAGCTCAACAGCCCCTCAGATTACCAACGCTTCCCAGAGTTCAAGTAGCAGACACACCTCAGCATCAGCTATTCAGAGGGGACTGTTCTGGTGACACTGCTGGTGATTTATTCAGACCTCAAGGCAACACTTAACCAGAATGGCCGTCACAACACTCTGCAGAAACACGCCATCCCATCTGGTTTGAGCGTTTTGGGATCATTTTTCAACAGGACAATGAGCTAAAACACACCTCCGGGCTCTTTACGGGCTGTTTGACCAAGGAGGAGAGTAATGGAGTGCCGCATCAGATGACCTGACCTCCACAATTACCCGAGCTTAACTGAACTGAGATGGTTTGTGATGAGCTGGACCGCAGAGCGAAGGAAAGGCAGCCAACAGGCAGCGCTCAGCGTTTATGGGAACTTCTTTCAAAACTGCTCCAGGTGACGACGTCATGAGGCTGGCTGAGAGGACGAGGAGTGAGCAAAGCTTTTATCCAAGAAAAAGACAGCTAGGGTCTTAAATATGAAACATACTTTGCTTTGCTAAAACGTGTTTCCTTGTTTCATGTTCGTGAGGACTTCAGTGGAGAAAACGAAAACAGAAGAAGAAACCTTGAATGGATTTAGGTGCGTCCAAACCTTTGACTGGTTCTGTAGCTTGTGTTTTGTTTGGAAACTGATGCATTTGTTCCTGCTTTAGAACTACTGTGAGTTTAACAAACTTTTTAGCATCTATTTACACTAAATGACCCGTTACTGTGGCAGTGGCCCTCCAATATGAACCAATTGGGATTTTAATCATAGCTATGATATTACATAAGTTTGTGTATACTGAAAGGTTGACTAAATGACGGAATTTGTGTGCTCCAGGAGTGGGAGTTGGAGATGTGGGAGTGAGGATTTGACAGCGCTGGGATGCTGTATGAGAAAGATGCACTGGGAGCTGATGCGAGCCAGCTGGGTTCTGGTTAAGAGCGAGGCCTCGGAGGAAGGGATGGATAGATGGGAGATAGAGGTAGGGAAGAGAGGAGGAGGAGGAGGAGGCACAGTCTGGCTCCTATGAACTCTTGGAGGAAGGTAAGAGGAAGAGGAGGCCTAGCCTGGTTCCTGAGAACCAGTCCAGACCAGCATGAGGCGAGTGCAGGAGCCAGCATTCCCGGATCTGACTCTGCCTCTCTGTGTGAAGGAATGCAGCCCGAAGCTCTGCCAAGGTGTCGACTTCTGCTTCTCCCCAGACTTCCTCTGCTCCTTTCACCATTATCTTATCTTCTCTGTCTCCCCATCGCCTTTCATCCTCTACTTTAGTCACCTATCTTTGTTTCTATCACGGTTTGATCCGTCTTGCTACTTGTCCTCTCGTCTCTCACTTTACTATATAACAGGGATGTTCACAGTGTTTAACATGCAGAAAAGTCCCATAAAAATTTTTTTAAAAAACCTGGACATCAAAGCCTTAAGAGTCAATTTTATAACATCAAAGTTTTGGGGAGATTTTTGAAAACCAAAATAAAGAATGAAATCTGGTTAAATTCCGTTTTTAGATAGCACACATGCCTGGCACACAAACACCTAAAAACAGAAGAGGCTGTGATGTCAGCGGGAAGCCTTGCACCCAAAACCACAAAAAAGGGGCAACCGTACTTCAGAATTACTGCTACGACAAAACATGTGTCTCGCCTCAATATCAGTAATGAAGTAATGAGAGGAAGAGGAGGGGCGAGCTGGAGCTGAAGAACAGACTGAAGCAGCCATGGCAGAGATTACAAGACATAGAAGTGTGTGAGACTGTTAAGAAGGGCAACGAGAGGACAGTGTGTGTGTGTGTGTGTGTGTGTGTGTGTGTGTGTGTGTGTGTGTGTGTGTGTGTGTGTGTGTGTGTGTGTATTATGTCAGCATGTGCGAGTTATGTATGTGTGTCAATGGAAAAAAAAAACAAAAAAAAAAGACAGATGGATTAAGAAACTCAATGTTCTTCCAGCATGAGTGCTCCACTGGCATGCCAAGAACTGCTGATTGCACTACTTTAGGGAGTAAACAGGAACACAAAAACACACAAACAGGGTATCCATCACAAAACCTCTGAGAACTTTCCAACATCCATTCACTAACCATCAACGTCCATACAAGACATTCCATACCGAAACCTTAATTTTAACCAAACTGTAAAATCACCCCCATGTCGTAGTTATGAATTTGTATTTTCCATCTTCCGGGTTTCTGCTGCAAGTTACATGAGCTGAAAGTCTTGTGTCGGGTACGATAGGCTGAACATTTACAAATGAAGTTTAAAACAACAACCAAAGGGTCACTGCATCCAGAAAGGGTTATATTCACGAAAGATTGGTGAACCAACGCGACCAGCACTTCACCACACACGCTAAAGAAACTAAATCAGATTAAAGTGCTGTTTACTGACAAGAGTCTGCATCTTCTGGGTTCTGAAGTGTTGTAAATTTAAACAATAGGCTCTTGCAAAGACTTGAAATCAACAGCGTGACTCCGGGATCAAACCCCAAACATGACAAACACCCTCTGGACACTTTTTGAGCCCATTCGTTGTGTTTATTCTGCTCACACACCTGGATGTAGAAAGGTATCCCAGCGCTGCGTCGTGTGGCACACAGCTTCGACGACGGGTCACTGGATTTGACCTCTGCCAGAACCTCCGACAGCCAGCGGGCAGGAAGCTGCTGCAGGGCCTGACTGCCACTCCTTAGACACACAAACACACACCAACATGATCATAAATAACAGGGGTCTAAATCTTTTGAGTTTCCTGTTTTGAATGAGTAATTATACAATCATAAATTTGCAAACCGATCCCACAGGTACATCAAAGAGAAGTTATACAAGATGAATCACAATAAAATCTCCTGTTGACTCATCAGCGTTTATTACAGGCTTCAGTTAGCAACTAAAAAAAAAAAAACAAGTATTTTTTTGTGCATCATAATACACCATATACAGTAGTACACTCATTAGCCGCCGCTGCATGTATGTGTTCAAGATGTTGCGCGGCTTATATCTCACACAATAAATCCAGTCTTCCAACACAAAACAGTCCACTCACTCACACATCAAACCTCGATTACATCGTGGCCGCAAATAATTTTTAATATTTGTTTAAATCCACTTTGACAAGCAGATGGATCTCACAGTAGGTTCCCATAAAGCTGTTCCACTAAACGGCAGTTCAAAGGTGTCGGAAGAATTACGATCCATAACTCAATGTACTTGGTTAGCTTTTTAAGTGCTCTGAACCAGTTCAAAAGATAGCTTCTCTATCCAGCAAGATGAAAAAAAAAACACCATCAATCACCTCATCCACTCTACAGGTGTGTGTGTGTGCAGGTCTGATCTATAAACATACAGTAACTAGTCATACATCACGTTACATTTCTGAAGTCAAAAGCTTTATTATGAGTTGATCAGTGCCTTAACATGTACCTCTCTTAGGATCGGTTGTCACAAAGGAAGTTCCTGCTCAAAGTCTTTGACACATTTACACTGCTCTCTGCAGCATCTGGTGCTGCACGTTTTAAAACAAACGCTAAGAATATGATCTGAGGCAGCTCGGGCAGACACAAGACCCACAAGAAAACCGCTCTCTGCTTCTTCAGTAAGAAGCAGCTGTTTAACAAGAGCCAGTGGAGCGGAGAGGACGAATTAAAACAATCCAATGTGGGAGAAAGAGCGAGGGCGGAGTGCTGCTGCACAATACAGTGCACTTCATCACACACACTTGACACTCCAAGGACGCACACATCTCCTCTGACAAACACATGCGCTGAAGTATACGCTGTAATCTTGTATTTTCAACCAGGAGGACGTATACCGGTTCTGAAACCGCAATGGTGGTACGAGGAAAGATTGTGAAACAGTTCAGCTAAATAAAAAGGATTTTATATATAACTTGAATAAAAACTATATATGTCCACATATTGAATCAGTTATAACACTAGAACACCACCTGCTGCAATTAAGATAATTACGAAAACATAATCAGAATTCCACCAAGGTCAACAGTTCACTCTTCACTGATACACAACTCAAACCAGATTCACCCAAAACTTAATTGGTTCTTCTTCTGTTTGTGCTCCATCATGTTCCATGAAAATCATCTCGGTAGGTTTTTGTGCAGTCTTTCCTACAGAGAGCAACAAACAAATGGTAACGCAAATAGAACCTCCTTGGTGAGGGACTGACTGGATAAATGGTTAAATATTGTAGGGAACCGAAGCAGCTGACTAATGGTACTAGTATACTAGTAATGGATATATGTTATGATGAAGAAATGTTAAAATATGTGTCTAAAAGAAATAGATAGTGAGTGAAATGGATAAAAGTAACAAATAAATCTTTACAATATTTAGCTAAATGTAAGAATTGAAGCAGATCTCTAAAGGTAATGAGCCAAAAGGTTAAACAGCTACCTAAAATAATGCTCAAATTGCTAACTGATAATTGGTCATTGATTACTTTAGATGCTTAGCTGAAAGTAAAGGATAATGGTTAAAACAGCTAAAAGTAATGAGTAAATGCTTCAAACAGCTTGCTACAATAAAAACTGCAAAGTTGAAACTGATAATGCGTGGTTGAAATAACAATAAATACATGTTAACATCGTTAGCTATAGAGTTAAGGACAACGCTGTTAGCTAAAATACCAAAAAGAGGGAATTGCTTGAAACAGAGAGCTAATGTGTTGTTAGAAAAGTGAAAAATAAATGACCAAATAAGCAGCTAAAGGCAATATGTACTTGCAAACGTAATTAATAGAAGCTAAATTGCTACATAAAAATAATGGGTAATTGGTAAAAGGTTAAAATAGTTTAAATATTACATAAAACATTGAAACAGATACCTAAGTGCATGGTTGAAACAGTAATGAAGACATGTTAAAACACAGTTAAAAGTAGAGGGTAATATGGCTAAAAAGGCTAGCTAAATTAATAAATGGAGTAAATGGTTGAAACACTGAGCTAAAGTAATAGATAAATGATTCCAATGGTAGCTAAAACTAGTGTATAAAAACTTAAAATAATAGCAAAATAATAACTAGTAATAAATAAATAAATCACAAAATAGACAGCTAAAACTAATTTATAAATGGTAAAATAATGTAGCTAGCTAAAAAAAATGGACAAATGGGTAAGAGCTGCAATTTAAAAGCTGGTAATAGCAAAAATATTTAATGTAAAAATTGTTAGCTAAACGTAATGGCTAAATGGTTGAAATAGTTAGCTAAAATGACAGGATCTGTTGAAAAAAAAAAAATAGCAAAAAGAGATGAATAACCATTAAACCGCTACAAGCATTTAAAAAAAAAAAAAAAAAAAAAAAAAGGTGGACATTTAAATCCCAAGAAGTTATAAAGATTCAGCTCCTGCCACAAGAAACGGCAGGAATAAGGATGGAAAATCCTTCTAAACACTGACAGTGCAACCGCATGTAAAAGTAGGGAAAATATTTACTTTAATAGCATTAATACTGAAATAATATGGAGCGTGATGGGAGGTGTTGACGAAGGGGTTGCTGAGTTCATTTGACAGGGACTGTGGGGGCATGTCGGACAAAAAAGATCGCCATAAACATTTGCAAATATAGATGTGCTCGCCTTGCCAGGGAATTCAGTCAAAGAGATTCAAAAAAAAAAGAGGGAAAGTGAAGAGAAATGGAAAGAGTGAAAGAAACTTGGGAAGAATGAAGAGAGAGACAAAGAGACACAGTGAGAGAGTGCAAACACAGTGGAACACACCAAAGCCAGATCCCGAGGCAGAGCATCAAACGGCTGTGGTTAAGCACCCCGCAATCAACACCCCATAACCCAGCACACGGCCTGCATACCATCCACACACTGCTCTTCCCCTCCTGAAAACACACACTCGCATCCCCACACACACACACACACACACACACACACACACACTCCCAGTACTCCCACACTCGACCGCGAGAATGTCGCCCTCGTTACACAACACACACAGAGAGGCTGCTTTCCGCACAAGAACAAAACAAGTGAGTTTTGTTTTAACTGCTCAGCTCTGGGTGGTTCAAAGTCGACGCTGCTGCGACGGTTTTGCGGTTCGTCACCTGCCGCAGGGCTAAAGACATTTTCCACAACCCGCCATTGAGGAAAACAGGGAGGTACAAGAAAGTGAGAAATTCTTTCATGTCGTGCAGAATTAAAAGATTGTTTTCCTTTCTTCCCTCCAGGAGGATAACGGAGGGATTATTTCTATGAATAGCAGACGTGATGAAGAGAACGGAGTCGTATGACACTCAAGCCGGGTTTAATGGTGTCCCGAGCAGCACACTCCCACAGAGGCCCAATCAGTCTGGTGCTGCTCAGGCTGAGATTCAACTGTATTAGTGGATTTAAATTATGAAACTGACACACATTTGGGGATATGCTGTGGCAGCAACTTTCTAATTCTTGTGTTGATTTTTTTTTCCTTTTGACAATAAACAAATGGAGTTTTGACTGAAAGATCACCTGGAGAATGAAAACAACACTGTCCATAATAATGTAAAGTAGTACCACAATCAGTCTGGTGTCCCAAAAAGCCCAAATCCTGTAGACCAGGGGTGTCCAATCCTGGTTCTCGAGGGCCACAGTCCAGCATGTTTTAGATGTTTCTCTCTTCCAACACACCTGATTCACATGATCAGGATCGTTATCAGGTTTCTGCAGAGGTTGATGATGAGCTGATCATTTGAATCAGGTGTGTTGGAAGAGGGACACATCTAAAACATGCAGGACTGTGGCCCTCGAGGACCAGGATTGGAGACCCCTGGCCTACAGGCTTTGAGCCGGCTCACTGGACTTCTCTAAGAAGTCACAAATCAATCAAGCATTACATTCAACCCCTTAAACAAATTTTTCTGCTCAGGAATGCAAGTAAATAACTATAATTTGACATCTTAATCAAGAAATAATAATGTGCTTTACTATTTTTTTCAGTTTTTCTGAAAACAGTAACAGTAAAATTCATAGATAACAACAATAGTTATATTTTAGCATTAAAAAATACCGTCTTGGTTACAGAGCTTCTACATACTGGTGTATTAACCCTTACAGAAACATAAATGCTGTTAATTTAGGGCAGCTGTGCATAAACCTTTCATTAGGTGGTGGTCAAACAAATTTGTTAAGCACTGTATGTGTACCTCTATAACTCTAAATGCTAACTAATTAGCAGATTGTACAAAAATATTCAACTTCAAATTTGTGTTTTCATGCAAAATGGTATGGTGGAACTTTGCAGTGACACTGCAAAGTTGCCCGGTGTGGTCTAATTAGTCATGTTTCCACAATGCAATCCTAAATCCATCCATTATCTATACACCGCTTAATCCTCACGAGGGTCATGGGGGGCTGGAGTCTATCCCAGCTGACTCAGGGTGAAGGCAGGGGACCCTGGACAGGTCACCAGTCTATCACAGGGCTACACTTAGAGACAGACAACCAAGCACACTCACATTCACACCTACGGACAATTTAGAATCACCAATTAACTTCGACATGTTTTTGGACTTGTGGGAGGAAGCCATAGAACCCGGAGAGAACCCACGCTGCACGGGGAGAACATGCAAACTCCACGCAGAAAGATCCCGGTGTCCTTACCGGTACGTGAACCGGCAACCTTCCT